TAATATTTATGTTCGAAGCTTATTTTCATTACTGTTTTCCTTCGTTAATTATGGTGAGGTACTGTATTGTTTGTATTTTTTTCTCTGTTAAATTTTCTAGTTAATCTGTCTGTCTGTTTAGTCTTATCTCTTATCCAGATGGCATTGGCTTCGTTATCTGTTGCGTAACTCTTTTTGTCTCTCATATTATCCAAGATTATCTGTTGTCGCCTTGGTTTTATCTCCCAGGTCAGTCAGAGCATCCATGCCTGTTTATCCATTTTTCGTGTCCATTGTTTATTTTATTATTATTATTATTATTATTATTATTATTATTATTTTGTTTATTTCATCTTCTCTTCTGTCTGTTGCCTGATATTTTCCCTTGTCTATTATCGACCCTTCTGCTGATAAGCACACACACACTGCACACACACACACACACACACACACACACACACACACACACACACACACACACACACACACACACACACACACACACACACACACACACACACACACACACACACACACACCGTAATTTTCTCTTAACTACCACATTGATTGCTCGTTCTGCCGAAGAAGTCCTACGAGGCGCTGTGTCTAACGGGATGGGTGAAGGAGGTTCTGCAAGAGTAGGTCGTGTCCTTCCCCGTCGGTGGGTGAAGGTTAGGTCAGGGCGGGAAGGGTAGGTTGGTGTGGGTTAGGTCAAGGCTCTGTCTCTCTGTCTGTCTCTGTCTCTTTCTCTCTGTCTCTCTCTCTGTCCTCTCTCTCTCTTCTCTCTCTCTCTCTCTCTCTCTCTCTCTCTCTCTCTCTCTCTCTCTCTCTCACTCACTCACTCACTCACTCACTCACTCTCTCTCTCTCTCTCTCTCTCTCTCTCTCTCTCTCTCTCTCTCTCTCTCTCTCTCTCTCACTCTCACTCTCTCTCTCTCTCTCTCTCTCTCTCTCTCTCTCTCTCTCTCTCTCTCTCTCTCTCTCTCTCTCTCTCTCTCTCTCTCTCTCTCTCTCTCTCTCTCTAGCCACGCTAATTAGCGTGGTTGGTAACGGGGGGGGAGGGGGAGGGAGACGAGAGAGAGAGAGAAAGAGAAAGAGAAAGAGTAAGAGAAAGAGAGATAGATGGATGGAAAAATTGCCATAGAAAATTCTTGGCTGAAGAAAGGTCATCGGGAACACTAGAAGGGCAGTGCAAGGGATAACGAGGGGAGGGGGGAAGGGGAGGGAAGGGGGCGAGAGTAGGCTTATTAGTCTGCAGCGGAAAGGGTTAAGTAGGGGGGAGGAGGGAGGGAGGGAGAGAGGGTATAGGGAGAGAAAATATTCCTAAAAGTTGCTTACTTGTTACTCGAGACCCGCCCACCCCCCCCCCCCCTTCTTTCCCTATCACCCTACATCTTCCCCTATCACCCCCTACACACCCTACCTCCCCTGTCGAAAAAGGGTTTCAATGAGGAGGGGAGAGTGACATGGAAGCCCCCCCCCCCCCGCCTCCGCCTTCCGTAGAGGATACCCGAAGCGAGGTGGAGAGAAGGGGGCGTGGCAACCTGACACCTTATTAGAGATTCTTAGGCCTTAGGACTTCGGAGGGAGGGGGAGAGGGGGAGGGGGGGGAAATTGAATAGGGGGAAAATGGAGGGAGAAGGGATGAAATGAAGGAGGGATAAGGGAGGGGGAGATGGAGGGAGGAGGGGGAAGATGGAGGGAGATGGGGTGAAAGGAAGGAGGGATAAGGGGGAGATGGAGGGAGGACGGGGGGGGGGGGAATGGAGGGAGAAAGGAAGGAGGGATAAGGGGGGGGAGATGGAGGAGGAGGGGGAAGAAGGAAGGGAAATAGGGGTAGGGAAAGAAGGATGGGGATGGGGGGTAGAAGGAAGGAGAAGGATAGGGGATAGGAGTTGGGGTGAAGGAAAAGGGGGATAGAAGGAAGGGATAGAGGGGATGGGGTGAAAGAAAGGGGAGGGGAGGGAAGATGAGAGGATAGGAGGGAGCATTGGAGGGGATGGGAGGGTGTGGGGAGGGAAGGGGGGAAAGGGTATAATTCAGAAAGAATGAGAAGGTAACGGAAGAAATAGGGGGGAGGGTGGATGGGGAGTTTAGGGGGGGGTTACGAAGAGGGGGGAGAGAGGGAGAGAAGGAGAAGAAGATGATGATGAAGACCCATAGAAAAGTAGGGGGTTAAAGAGGGGGAGGGGAATGGAATGAAGGGGTGAGACTCAGGAGGTAATGAGACCCGTAGAAGGATAAAGGGGAGAAGGGAGAGAATTAAAGGGGGAAAGAAATTAAGGAAGGGAGGAAGGGGGGCGCGTTCGGTCAAGTCTGTCGGTCATTTGATCGGGTAAATTGATAAGTCGGTGGAGTCGATGAATAATAGTTATTCATTCATTTCATCCAAGGTAGAGAGAATAAAACCCACAATGCATTTTGGATTAAAAAAAAAAATCTTAGCGTCAATGCGGTATAATGGTAGAAAAAAATACTGTATTTTGTTTTGTTTTTTGTTCTACCTTAGATCAATGCGGATAGAGTGTTAGAAAAAAAAACACAATGCATTTTGTTTTTTGTTTTTTCATCCTAAGTATCAATGCGATATAGTGTTAGAAAGAAACACAATGCATTTTGTTTTTTGTTTTTTCATCCTAAGTATCAATGCGATATAGT